CTTAATTGTAATACTTACAGGGTTATTCACATAAAGGGTGAAGAGTTTGGAGAAGGCAGGAGAAGTGAACAATCTAGGACAAAACAGCTGATTTTGAAATAATTCTCCAATTCAGCTCACTTTCCAGTTCTGCTATGTTATCCTAGATTGTTCACTTCTCCTGTCTTCTCCAAATTTCTTCACCCTTTTGTGAATAACCTTGTTAAATTCTGCCCTCAATGCAAAAATATGTATTAAATATAGAAATAGGGGGACTATCTTAATAGTAAAATGATAAATTACTGATACCACTATTGGAAGTTCATTTATAAAAGTTCCACCCAGCATATAAGCGGCGGATGCTGTTTGCATGCACTGGTACCCCTAGATGGCGCTGACGAGTATAGGGGGTTTATAAAGGAACCCCTTGGTATCCAGATCCACATTTAAACCATTAGGGACCAAACTCCTAAATTTGTAGAACCATTTTGTTTCTTCTTTGTACGTTTGCCTTGTTAAATTAGGTCCCCCTCCCATGTCTGTGTACCCGTTCAGTGCCCCGAAACTGCAACCCAGTGGGGTCTGTCCTAAGCTGACATGGTGAGTTTTAAGCCTAATTACTCAAATCTCATTTAAGCTCTGACATGTTACTGTATTTTCAAAAGTAATTTTTAACCTGCAGCTTCTATTAAAATAATGCTTGGTGATCCCATCATGAAGATCCTTGTTTAGGCATTTCCTGTTGTAGCGTGACAACACTCTGTCCGTCTTCCAATTGTGCTCCTAAAGTCTACATCTCAATACAAATTTTACAGGTATAGTCCACTGTTGTCACCATCAGAAAACCCGTCCTGAGAAATGCCATGCAACCATTGTTGGAGAGACAGGAAGTGGCTGCAAAGAGGCTGTGGGAAATAAGCAGCACTAACACACAACAAAGATGGAAAAAAAACAAGTATTATATTTTTTTTAAAAATAAGGCAATTGTTTATGATACACATTGCTTTAGCCCTGCCTTTCTCAACCAGTGCACTGTGGCACCCTGGGGTGGGCTCTAATGGGAAGGAGGCTCCTAGTGTGCGAGGAGGTACTCTGATGTGAAATGAGGGAACAGCTCATGTGAAGAGGCCTCCTAATGTAAAGGGGTCCTGGTTTAAAGGGGAGCTCTGATGTGATAGGGTGTTCCTGATGTGAAAGAGGGAGGGACTCTGATGTGTGTTTTTGCATGGGGTCGTCCCTTAAAATCCATACCAGACCCATATCTGGGATAAGGATCTGGTATGTATTTTTTTTTACATTTTAGACTGGGGTGCCTTGAGATTTTGCATACTTTTAAAGGGTGATGTGACCGAAAAAAAGTTTAGCAACCCTGCTTTGGCCAACTAAATGTCATTAAAACCACTCATATAATTGACGGACAAGTGACACAGCTGATCAAGATGGGGGGTTTCGTCATCAATTGAAAGCACTCTAACGCTAGCCATACACTAGTAGATTTCGGAACATTCAGGTCCCCTTCACACCTAGGCATTATGTAGCTCAAGGCTCCACAACCCTGAACACAAGGAATCCTATTGTTTTCAAGGGCCCCTGTTCACACCTGGGCGTTCTGCCACTTGTAGCAAAACGCCTGTCACTTGAAAAAGTACATGAGCTTCTTTTCAGGCAGATTTACGCATTTTTGTCTCGATAGACTAAACACCTTAAAACACATGTTACAAGCATTCTGAGCAGTTTTGTTTTACCTTTTTGCATAATGTCACACATGCTACTTCTTTTCATTGCCCCAAACATAAAAACACCTGAAGCTGAATGCTCATAAATGCGCAAAAAAGTGCTTAAAAATACTCAAAAATGCTTTTTTTAAAAGCCTAAAGATGCCAACACCTAGGTGTGAACGGGCCTCATATGAAAAAATCAGGTCAGAACATTCGATAATGCCATCAAAGACTTAACGAATGTTACTTGAAATTTGATTTTGGAATACATGGAATGAAACCCACAATCACTGTTAGAACTTCTTTTGTTCGAGAAAAATTCCCCATCCTGCTCCTTTGGGGGTTTTTTTTCAGCACTATGGTCGAAAATGATCATCGACTTTACCACTATTGACCATTAGAAAATTGAACGAATGTTCCAAAAGCTGATTTTTTTTTTTTTTAACAAACTTGTTCTGGTGTATGGCCATTGAACGGAGGGTCGCTAGTATGCAGTTTCTGAAATAGCATTGATCTTTTTAGTTATTCATTATAAAGCAGACCGATTTCCTACTGCGAACCATGAGACCCACATTAAGATTGAACCCACAGGCGAAGCTGTGTATTCACAATACTTTAGTGTTCTGGGTTATAAAGAGCAGATACAAATGAGTGTCTTCCTTGTGGGTCATCTATCAGTAGTGTAAAGGTGAATTGTAAGCAGAGACATTAAACATCATCTTCCCCCCACTGGAAAGGGGCATTACATTGCCTATTAGGCAGAAGAAAACCAATTGCTATAATCTCCTCTTAAATGCTTGGTTACGGACCACCCATCAGTTGCTCTTGTTGCTAAATGAATGAACCATGGGAAATTTTGGTCGGCTGCTTGCTTCCCCTCCCTGTAAATTGCCAGGAATCCCAGCTATGTTGGGTATATTTATCTTCCTTTCTGCCCCCACTACTCTTGTTTCCGTTGCCTAAAAAGGTGAAAGCAATCGGAAGCTCTCTCCATCCCTCCCCCACCTTTATGTTCCAGCCAGAAGAGGTGATTGTGACCAGCTTCCCACCCATCATTGGCCATGCTGGACCCTATAAACCTAGTGATGACCCTACATACCACTGAAGAGATATCACGGCTAGTGTTTGAGCCATCCTGTATTCATCAACTGCATATTGTGTCTCAATCACAGTGTCATTACCTTTCAGCAACTGGCTTACTTTCACATTGCCTATGCAGCATTTATTCTATCTCCACTCTTTAAGTAATGATGCCTTTACTGTATGGAAAGCTTTTATTGTTTATGCTCCCATAGTATCGTATAGCTCAACAGTAGTACACACAACACCCGCCTACACCATCTGCATACCGACAGACAGAGATGAAGAAAAAATAATAAGTAAAGTAAGTGGGAATGTTAAAAGGGAAATCATTTATTTATTACAGGTATTTTATATACAATTTGTGCAGCGCTTTATGTACATTTACATCAGTCCCTGCCCTCATGAAGCCTACAATCTACGGTCCCTATCTCACATACATACATATATACATGCATCCATACATGCACATACCAGGGCTGAGTTAAACAGGAGCCAATTAACCTACCAGCATGTCTTTGGAGAGTGGGAGGAAACCAGAATCCCAGGAGGAAACCCTTTCAAGCACATGAGAACATGGAAACTCTATGCAGATGGTGTCTTGAGCGGGGGACATTTATAAGATAGATTTATTAGAAAAATTACTAATCTTTGATATACAGAGCCCACAAATCCCTTCAAACATTATTTTATGTTTAATTTAGCCCTATTGCAAATCTTTGTGATAGTTAAAGATATGAACCTGTGCATCCTATTCGATAATATTATCTTTGGGTGAGACATTCCAGACAGCCCACCTCCCCACCCTGGTGTCACTGCAGGCATTGAAGAGTTAAAGGTTTCAATTAAAGCTAGTGGCCAGGACCAGTTTAAACTGATCACCGGAAACTGTAGCAGAGCAGACTGGTTGCAGGGCCTTTGTCCCATACAAGGGTGTGACACACAAGCATGATGGTCTTTTAAACCTCTCAATGGGGGTTGAAGGGAGTTATCACCTTTTAAACAGAAGCTTCACAGAAGACTCTTGGAGCCAACAGCACACAGGGAGTCTGACCCTGCTGTCTCCTGATCAGTGCATTCCTAATGTTGGCAACACCTAGTAACAAAAGCCAGCCAAAACACTGATCAGGTCTAGCTGATATGTGTAAGCAGACATCAACATAACTGGTTTGATATATAAGTTACACAATGTGTAAGTGTAAATTTAGGCAGGATGCAAGAGATCTATCTAAGACAAATGTAACAATGACTGCACTGCAATATTTAAAACAGGTAAGATAAAGTAATCATTACGTGAGTTTCCCCAACCTATCTATTCTGGTACCATCTGCAGTTAAAGGGGTACCTCAATTTACTGCGTTCATTCAAAACCCTATATCATAAGGCTCTGCATCATCTTTAAGTATCTCTATGAAACACAGCCCATTCAACTTCAAGTGTTCCTTAACACCCCCTCCCCTCTGCTCTCCTGTGCTCTGGGGGAGGGGACCGATTTAAGAGGAGATGGAATTGGGAAATCACTCCAGGTCAGCTCAACCCCTGACTGGTCATCTTTCAGCTACATTTGTCCAGGGAGGTGGGATTCATATGGGAGGTCTTAATAGTGTGCCCAAGTGTGGTAGTCATTCATTTCAGTCCAGGCAGGTGGTCTCTGCTGCTGATTGGATAGTTTGGGCACCCAGAACCATAGGGTGCTCTTATCTTCAGAGAAATCCCTGTTTGAATCTTCTTTCTTGATGAGGTGCATGTGAGTGTGACAACATGACAACATTTCGTCATGAGGACCTACGTAGAAGCTCTGCTTGACCTCTGATAGAAGACCATCACTTAACCTTAAACTCAGCATGGCAGAAGGTGATCGGATTGAGGGGGTAGGGGCGGGCCATGGAATTTAATCCTAAAGGTGATTTTGCTAAAAATTTTGAAATCGTTTTCTTTAGGAGGAGAGGGGGAGGGAAGCTTTGCCAGTTGACCTACCATTGTCTTGCAGAATTTTGAATCTTTTCAAATGCAATCGCCCTCCCATCCCTATTGTCCTAAGAAGATGTAGCAAACCTTGTTGTCTCTTTTGTGCATTTAATTTATTTTTTTTACTAGTTTTGGGGGAGGGGGTGAATTGAGAAGGTGAAAGATCTTGTTAGACTGGAGACCACAGACTTGCGGTGGGGACAAGACTTCAAGGGAGTTCTTGGGATACTTCATTAACTCAAGAGGAACTCATAAATGGGTTCTGTTACCAACGCTGAGATTCCAGGTGATGAATGGTGGCTGTGGGAAAGGTCTTGGATGCGCAGACAGATAGGAGGAGATGGGTGTCTAGCCTGGGATGGATTTGGCTGGGTGCCACTAAGCTTTGATTTGCTTTGGGGACATTATCGTGTCTAGATATTGGGAGAGAGGAAGACCTCCCTTCTGTTTCTGCTGCAAGCGAGGAAATTGCTCTGATCTTGTAACAGTGACCACTGGGTAAAAGAGGAGAGAGATTTATGACTGAAAAGTGTTTTATGCTTTTTGAGTAGAACTTAAGCCAGAGTATTCTAATTCAGCTTTGCAATGCTTGTTGAAATTTGTTTTGTTTGTTGTAAAACACTGGATTGCTGAAACAAGTTTGCTGTGCTCATTAGTGCTAAGGTCACTTTATTATTTTATTATTTTTCATTGTGCTTCACCTAGTACAACGTAAAAGCAGTAAATATGTTACTGCACTTTTCTTAATCATCTAGTTGTACCTGTTACATTAGTATTGCAAGTTATCATTTTGTTTTTTAAAATAAATACATGAATGTCTAAATTCATGTTTTGAAAACGGGCTGACATTTGCTAAATAATCAACACTGATGATTAGCTAATCAGAGATTGTTTTAATTTCAGAGATCTATATCTATGTATATTTCACTGTCAATGAAACACTTGAAAGTTTAATGTGTAATAATACAAACTGATTTCTTTTAAATCTACCCACGCAAAGCATATTTTATTATCTGATAGATGAAATTGTTTTAAACTGGTCATACAAGTTACAATCTGTGCAATCTACTAATTTTAGGTTGAATGCTACAGATCTAAAAATATCTTACATAAATGAAATTAAAAACTGAAACAATAACAGGGATGCATGTGGCTAGAAACAATAATGCATGTGGCTAGTTTTACAACATGCAAACATCTAGTAAAATAAATCTCTGTCTTATTCAATAACTTTTTTTATACAACCTGGATATTATCTAAGCCTATATACATTTAGATTTCTGTACAATTCTTTCAAAACATAATAGCCTATACAATCAAATGGAGCATGCATGGCCAGCTTACTGGGATAATTATGTAGGCTGCCATTGATAACATTCCATTGCCATTGATAACATTCCACTGCCATTGATAACATTGATAACAAAGTAAGCATGCAGCAACAGAAGTCAGATCTACCGTGTGTTAACAGTGTGGGAGGTGAGTTGCTTTGCCATTCATTTGAATGGCACCTCAAATGCACCTCCTGCCCGCAATGCGCACGATCACGCCACAACAAGCGGTACCGCTATACCATGCTTTGGGATGTGATTATAAAAAAGCAGTGAATGCACTACTTTTTTTAATCACACCTCAAGGTATTGTGGTACCGCACGTTGCGGTGTGATCTAGTGCATTGTGGATGAGAGGTGCATTTGGGGTGCCATTGAAAAAATTTGCAACGCACCTCCCATCCGGTACGGTGCGATTAACATGAGTGTGGATGGGCCATAAGAGCAGTGTAATTTCAGATCATTGGAAGGGCAGATTAACATTAGGAAATTTAATTTTAGGTAGTAAACTGGTTTTTGCTTTTTATATGGAATTTGATTTTTTATTGGTCTGGCACAGATCATTTATTGTGTTTTAACATCTAAGTATAATCAGTAGCTATGCTCAGACAGGTCATGTCATGAAAGTTTCATAGGATAACCCATTAGATTAGGCTCAGTTGAGGAGCCCCCAGACACTTTCAATGACATTCTCCTGAAGTGGCTATATTCATGCTGACTAGGAAACTTGTTCATGTCCATGGACAGTTGCTGATAGTCCTGCTTGACAGATTTGGAGGAAGCAGTTGGTAAATGTTAGAAATCCGATTGCTGCTGTTTCACCCAAGAAAAACCAGCACAAGGATTGTCTTTTTGAGTGTGCCCTGATCCTTCCCATTTCTATATTTGAAAGAGTAACTCTCATTGGAGGTCCACAGCCATCTTTATGTCTTATCTGCCAGATTAGGTTGTATAAAAAATTAAGAGCTTCTAGAGAAGATGTGGTCATGCAGTGTTGTCATATGTTAACATTTACGAATTTCGGCCGATTTTTGATGAACCAGCTGAAATTTGCACAGTGGATGCCACTGTCGGCACCTTTTCGAGTGGCATCCCTTCATCAGCTGATCAAAGGAGCCGCTTGAAGAATGTTCAAACCAACAGAGCAGGAAGACAATCAGCTGCCAGCTCTATTTGGATATACTGACAGTGGCTGCAGTCACAATACAATGAAGACAGCGGGAGATTCCACGTTCAACGCTCAAAAGCATTGATGGAGGAACCTGTTATATTTTCTCTGTTTAGCCCGCAGGTTGAACAGAGAAAATATTACAGTGTATGGCCAGCTTAACTATGATTTTTAAACCCACTGGTTAAAGAAAATCTGTACTGGAAAAAAGTGCCGTGCCCAGGCTGCTGACCATTTTCTGAATGCTAGATTTCTGGTTATGTCTGACTTTAGTATTTTATGAGTCACTGACTTAGAACAAGCATCCAGCAAGTGAAGTAACAGTAAATTCAGAAATCCTTCTCTGCATACTTTTCAGTGACTCGGAAAGTAATAACGCCACAATCAGCAAAACAACCAGTAAACTAGGAAGCCAGGCAACTGGCATTTTCAGAAAAGCCAGCAATAGTAGCAATTTTTTTTTCTCAGTACAAGTTTGCTTTAATGGCACATTAAAGTGAGTTGAATGCTAAAAATGCCGACAAGTACCCTAACTAATAAAAATGTATCCTATGTGTGTATCAGTCAGCTGTAGGTCCTCAAATCATCTCTGAATTGGTGCTAACACTGTCCTCCCTTCTAGAGGGTGGCTACTTTTGTTCTCCATGGTCCCTGTGTGTGTTGTAAAGTAGCCACTGCTCCAAGCTCGCTCCTGTGATGGACTACAATCTCACATTTAGTTTACTCATTTGTATTGAGATTGTAGCCCATCACAGGAGTGAACTTGGAGCGGTGACTACTTTACAACACACACAGGGACCATGGGGAACAAAAGTAGTCACCCTCCAGGATGAAGGACAGTGTCAGCACCAATTCAGAGATGATCTGAGGATCTACAGCTGACCGATACACAAATAAGCTGCATTTTTGTTAATAGTTAAGGTTCTTGAATGCATTTTTAAGGTTTAACTCCTGAGTTTAATGTCACTTTAACTGTATGTAAAAAAAAAAAGCAATATAAATTGCTTCCTAACTACAGCAGGTGCTAGAAACAAACACTGACCTACAGCTGGCCCTTTAGAGAATCACAATGTGTTAGGTTTACATATTACTGCAAGAAAACTTACAGTCGTGTCTTGGGGTGATTTGACAATTATTTGTAGACCCAGGGCTGACTTATAAAGGGTCAGTTGCTGTGTTGGGGATCAGAGTTTAGGATATCTACCACAATTGCTGTTGCTCCAACTTGAGCTAAGCAGTGCCGAGTGCTAGAGGTGACTCCTAATGCAGCTCATCTCCTCCTCCCTCTCTTCCCCATTCAGCAGAATGTTCCTATTCATGGACCTGCTAGCTGATCCTCATATCTGAGGGTGGTCTGATCATGCATGGTGCTGATGATGATCTAAGTGCTTTTCTAGGTCTCTGGGTGGCCACAGATATAGATCACCCAATACTGCTAATTTGGTCAAAATAGGGTAACGACCTTGTTTGTGCATACAAAACAGCGGTCCCCAAATAATGGTGAGAATGGTTAAATGCCTGGCATGGTTTTTTTTTTTGTTCCATTGGGGAGAATTACTTTTACTTTCTATCCTGTACATCCGGAAGGAAGACGTAATCTTTTCAAAAGTAAGAGAACATCGCTCTTAGACAGATGTCACCAGAACAAATGTCCCCATTGGAATATATCCCTGAAATTTCTGTCCTGGTGTTCTGGCCCATCAATGTCCAATAGGGAATTGCATGAGACAGGAGGTGGCAGACCATCATTGTAGACAAATATTCAGATTAACATATCAAAGCACCCTAGGCTTGGGGGCTTCCAGAGGCCTGAAGATGATGTGGTATTGAACATAAAAGTGCTTGTATTGCATACCAGATGCTATTTTACACTGGCTTAGGAAAGGAGGGTACGCTTTACTTTGAACCAAATGTATAACATATTTTTGTTGAAGATTAGCATAGTTATCATTATCGGTAACAGAATACAAATCTTTACATAACATGTTTACATCATACCATAATCATTGTCAAAATCATTTTTATGCACGCGCAGAAAATCTAGTTCATGTTTATATACTACAGTGCAGTTGTTGTACTCCAGCATTGTTAATATGAAGCTGTTATGTTGTAATGTGATGAGACTGAATGGCAAAACCTAATTTCATTGCCTTTAATTCGCACTGCAAGAACCAATGATCTACCAACACTGTAAAAAATAAATGTATTCATGTGTTAATATGCTTATTATGGCAATGACAACAATTTAAACATAGTAAAGAGATCACAGTAATTTATTTTCCAAACCAACAAATGTCTTTCAGAGAAAAATGCTCATCCGACACTCACACGTTACACAGCTAACCTATACTTAATAATAAACAGCATAATTATTGTTATAGTCATATTATGGCATAGCTAAAACACAAATCTGTCACATATGAAGCAACAATACAGTGCTGTAGTGTAGCACAATGAGGCTAATTGAGGCAGCTGCCTTAGGCGGTACTCATGGAGTCACAGTGGGTGGTGGCACTGGTGAGTGTGCAGCTTAGTAATGCTGAGCCTAATAAAATCACTTTTGACAGTGCAAGCTCAACATCACTGAGTACAGCACCGCCAGCCACTGCACCACAGCAAAAATGGTCGCCTCGGGCGGCATCTGCCACCAGCATGGCCCTGGTGGTCACCATGATTAGTAAATAAATAGAGTAATTATAATGTAAAGTAAATAACTATAGTTAGTAAAATAATGTATTTTATTTTTTTATCGGTGTACCATTGGGGAGAATTACCTTTATTTTCTGTCCTGTACAACTGGAAGTGAGAAGAAATCTGAAAGTGAGGGAACGGCCCCCTTAGACAGTTGTCACTGGACTGGAAAAATTGTATATAGTCCAAGATTTCCCATTTATTTATGTTCTGGTGACAATTCCAAATTTTGAGTCACTTTCAATGCCAGTGACAGAGTTCACCATGACTATAAGAGAGGTTGAATCTCCCCATTTGGGACACATACAGCAATAAAAACCGGACAGTGGTTATAACCCTTCCCTACTCTATCCAATTTTTTATAAAGCTTTCAATAAACCAACTTTAATATAATTTCGACATAATGCCAAATGTCAAACATTCCTATCTATCTAAATAGATTAACCCTTTAAATATGTAGAACTATTTTGACATTCACCTCAGATAATAATTAACATTGTGAAGAAGTCTCCAAATATCCTGAAATTACCGGTATATACCTCTTACCAATTAGCAAAAATTTGTCATGGTTCTGATGAAACTTAAGATGTGATTGGGTGCTATGGGTTACTGCACTTAGGACATCATCATTGCACTAATGATTAAGGATTATATATAGAGCATATTTAGGGCTAGTTGAGTTTATTTTTAGTGTTCTTTGTATGTATGTGTTCTCCTTTTCTCTGTATTGTTATTTGTATACTGTTGCTTTAAGTTTTTTACTTAATTTCTTTTTTCAACTGTTTTTTTTTTATTTCTGTGAAAATAAATATTTTTGCTCAAGAACAGGTCTAGGCTAGTCGAAACAAACTTATGGAACCTTCAGGAGCCATTTAAAGCCCATTCCACCCTTACAGAACACAATTTTACCTTTCTAATTGACTCCTATGAATTTTGCCAAAATTGTGAAATTTTCTCTAAAATTATCAATTTTGTCCAACATTTTGGGAAAATAAAAGCTCTCAATTTCATTCATACCTACTAATGATTAACTAAATAAACCTGAGATACTTATATGCTATAAACCTACCAATATAGAGCTCTATGCTGTGTAATAGTTAAAGGGGAAATATGGGAAGAGTGAAATACACTCATTCCCATATTAGAGCTCTATTGATTGGGAACTGAGTGATCACATACCACTGATTGCTCAGTTCCAGATCTTCTCCCTGCAGAGAGAGGTGACTGTCAGTTTCCGCATGGATTCCCCCTTCCCCTCTCCGTTCCTCCAGTGCTGACTGGAGGAACAGATGGGGGAGGGTGTGGGCACAGCCGGGTCGGCCTCTAGAGAGCGGGGTGGATCCCAACAATATTGTCGGGATCTGTCCCGGCTGCGGCACAGCTCTATGCTCTCAGCATACACAAGGCAATAGCCCACTATATGCTAAGTTTTGGATTACAGGAGAACATTAGTGTATGTCCTCCTGTAACCCTAAAGAGAACTATGGCAAAAAAAGGTTGGGCCATAGTTCTCTTTTAGTATATAATTGACAGTGTACTTTACACTATGGGTTGTGCTTCAATGGATTACATGAGCAAATCCATAAATGGCCATAGTGAAATCAATATGCACAGGGCCATCCTTATAATGAGGCAGTCGCAGCATCCCAGGTTGCTAAGAGCTCTTAGAAACCTGTGACGCTGTGTCTGGCTTCCCACCCAACTTCCTAACATCAGTTGCCAAGCAGCTAAGTGGGATGCTCTGACTGGCGTTTTGACCAAGCTCCTGGCAACCAGTGATGTTAGTAAGCTGGGCAGGACCAGGCAGAGAGCTGCTGACAGCACGGCTGTAACGCAGCTGCCCATCCCACCGCATCTCCCCCCC